AAAAAATATATATAGTATTTACGAAGGAGAAAGTAAATTTACAATAAGGTACTTTATGTATGCCTCTGGAAAATAACAGTGATTTGAATGGATAAGAAGAAAAGAAACTTGTTAACAAGCTAAAAATCTGTCTCACTACTTGGTGACTGCAGATCTTTGTATTCTAGTCTCATGTCAATTATTCAATTGTCTAAAAGTACTGGTTTTACAACTAAACAATCCTAAATGAAAGCTCACTCATCAATAAGAACACCAATGTAGCATTGCTATTTTTGAGTTCTCAATTTAATCTGACAGACCAAAATATTCTCTCTTGAATATTTGTTTTAAAATTAAAGAATTTCTATAGGACAAATTTTCTATTCTGGTTGCCAAATTAAGAAAGTCTCATTTGAAGGATAGCTTGTAATAGAATACTTATATTTTATCTATTTCTTTATTTGAAACAGGGTCTCACTCTATTACTCATGCTCAGGCTGGAGTGCAGTGGCACAATCACAGCTTACTGCACCCTCAACCTCCTGGGCTCAAGACCTTTCTCCCTACTCAGCATCCCCAGTAGCTAAGACACAGGTGCATAACACTACACCCAGGGGTGGGGTGGAGTGGGGTGCGTGTGTGTGTTAACTATGTCGTGTGTGTGAACTATGTCTTGCTATGCGTTGCCCAGGCTGGTCTTAAACTCCTGGCCTCAAGCAATCCTCCTGCCTTGGCCTCACAAAGTGTTTGGATTACAGGTGTGAACCACTGCACCTGGCCATTATTTTTATTCATTTTTTTTTTAAGAGGTGGAGTCTCTCACTCTGTTGTCTAGGCTTGAAGTGCAGCAACTTGATAATAGCCCACTGCAGCCTCGAACTCTGGGCTCCAGTGATATTCATGCCTCAATACTTGTATTTTACATTATCATTAAAATAAAGTCCACTTGTACGTCTAGATAATGAAAAAGTATGCCTCTAAAATTATCTTTGCAGTTTTCTCATCTTTTTCTTCTACGAAGCTTTCCCTCCCCTCCATGTCTCAATACATATATCAATCAATACATTTCTACAATGTGTTGTGGAAGTCCTTGAAGATTAAGACCACATCTAGCAACATCACTGATGAATAAATTCATACTATAGACACAGACACATACATAAATTTTAACTTTCCAAAATATAAACAAAAATAAAACGGCACTCTAATTCCTGTGACAGTGGGGTATACATTAGAAAAAGCATGGACATCAGTTTCCTTCTAAGGCCACAATAAATTCCCCAATATACTAAGGAAGGAAAAGAGTCCATTAGGTTTTACTCATTTTGGAAATTTAATAAGCTCACTATGAAAATGCTTACTTCGGCAGGGCATGCACAGTGGCTCATGCCTGTAATATCAGCACTTTGGGAGGAAGAGGCAGGTGAATCACCTGAGGTCAGGAGTTTGAGACCAGTCTG